TATGATACAAGTAATGGAATCTTTACTATATAATGACGAAAACTCTGTGTGTGTGTCTGTTCCACGTTTGTCTCCTCACTGACTTGGTCAGTCCATGTGAAATTTGGCACAGTGGTAGAGGGTGGAGGATGCCAATGAAGCAATATTACATCAATTGGCCAAAGGGGGGCGCTACAGCAACCGATTGAAATGTCAAACTTTGAATGGGCATATCTCATGCCCCGTATGTCGTAGAGACATGAAACTTTGCACAGAGATGCCTCTCCTCATGAGGAACACATTTGCCTCAAGAACCCATAACTTCCGCTTATATAGATTTTCCGCCATTTTGAATTTTTCGAAAAACACTTCAAATGGATCTCTTCCTAGGAAGTTTGAGCGATCTGCATGAAACTGGGTGAACATAATCTAGGGACCAATATCTAAAGTTCCCTCTTGGCAAAAGTTGGAAAACTTACTAAAACTGAGCTTCTATAAGGCAATGAATATTGCGGAGGGCGTGGCTCATCACATAAAGGTGTATAACATCTCAAGGGTTTCAGCCATCACCACGCAACTTTGTAGGCTTATGACCACACATAATCTGAGGGGACCCCTCCATTATTGACCCCATCAAACAAAATGGGGGCGCTAGAGAGCTCATTTCTTATCTAGGCCTAACTGCCATATGGATTTTTACTAAACTTGGTAGATATGTAGAACAGGACGCCTCAAGGTGACTGGAGAAATTTAACTCTAATTGGCAACTGGGTGGCGCTATAACAACAGAAAAATGCTTCAAAATGGCGACCGATCACTGTGGCTCCCCCTGTGGACCAATGTTGTTGTTTTCTAATTTTTGGTATGACTAAGTCATGGTATGGTATGCTGTACTCAATGGGTATGGACTAGTAAAATCTATTAAATAAAATAATTTAGTGTTTATTATTTTATGTAATTTTTATAGGAATGTCCAATAATTTCCTTACATCCGGTCGCAAAGGACAGCAAATAGGTAAAATATTGTAACTCCGAATGGCAGTACCACCTCCGGTTGACGTTGCCAATGGTTTCATCTGATTTTACCGCCCTGCTCTCGTCCACTAACATGATCCCTGCTTCGCTGTCACCATGATTCCAAGTGAACGCACCACTAAACATTTGTTTAGCCAATTTATGTTTTAACAAGCTAACATATTTCAGCCATTTGACATAAAAAATTTCACTCTGGAAAAGGTTTCTTGTTCGGTATGTAGAATTCATAGAATTTTCATGTCAGGGAGGATCCAATGACTACTGCAATCAATTTGAACAACGCCTTTTATTTTGGCATCTTTGAAAACTACTCCATGAACGGCAGTTTCAGACTGAAGAATGAAGAAAAATGTAAATATTCAGGATAGATGTTAACCCCAGTGTGTAGCCAGAAAAGGAAGTACAGAGCAGTCAGCGTGCACACACAGGGCTGCATCACAGAATGTGATCTGGGCGACATTACTACTTGGTCAGCAACATGCCTGATCAGTGTCATCATCCAATCACCTTTACTTTGACTCCAAAACCCTGTATTCAGATTCTCTCAAAACAAAAAAACATTTGCAATCTTTTTTGTCTAATTGACAAAATCTGATCTGAAAATTGATCTGATTGATTATTGTGTTTTTCACACACTGGATCTTTGTTGCCTGTTCCTGCATTCATCTGACCATGTGTAACCCCGTGTATCGTTTCCTCCTCTGCTTCTCTTGACTTTTGGTTTCTGTTTTTGCTTCTCTGAGAATCATTCGACACGTTCTGTGGAACAGAAGAACAAAACAAAAGCTCACTCATAGTAGCACAAATTTACACACGGCACACTTGGAGAGAATGCAAAGACCTCAGGCCCAACAGAACAACAACAGAACAAAAAGAAAGCAGGTTTGTGTTTGTGTGAAACATCTGAGCTCAGCAGGAGAGACGAGTACAGGAAGGAGAAGGCATAAAAACAAAACCAGCTTGTTCTCCACAGGCGCACATTGTATACATTGCTGTACATGCTAACTCAAAGAATCCTTTAACATCTTTTTTTTTGCCCTTTTAGTATAAAAACACATACTGATGTACATTATAAAAAAGGCTTTCCTTTTTGCAAAAGAGCAGTGTTTCTCTTTCGTGTCGGCGTGTATCGCACCGACGCGGTTATGTATACATTATTTACAAATACAACCGTATAAAAAATTTGTTTTTCTCTTGTGTTCATGTATTCAAAAAAAATCAAATACATCAGATAGGTTCAATTTTGTTCTGAAATATTTATGAAAGTCCTTTAATATACAGCGACAGAGAAGCTGGGAGCCAGCGAGAAGGTTGGTGCACCTGACTCTTAAAAAGGATATCACTTTAAACAAGAAATAAATAAACGCTGTGCACTACTGTGATTGTGTTCAGGAGGTATCACAAGCCACTTGGTCGAAAACATCTGGTGTCTTGCTCAAACAAGATCTTAATGTCTTTACATGCTAAGTTATCGCATCTTAAAAGATCAAAAATCTGGTGCCTTAACACATTTCAATGCGTGGAATTTTTACACCAATGTTGACTGCTGCTTCCATGCCACTGAAGCCTGAAGAGAACTATAAAAAATGTTTATCATGCTCTAGTTGCCACAGGCAGATATTGTAGGGGAAACAAATGTCATTTCCTGACACATTTAGTATGAACAGTACAACTGTACTGATATGTTCACTAGAAATGTCTCCATGGTGACAAATTCAACTCTGCTGATGTTGGACGATTCAGCAAAACATTCAAACATCAGCCTTGTCTTACTTCCAGGATGTCAAAATATGCCAGATGGGCAAAGTCCCCGGTGTCATTATAGCGATGCCGGTTTGAGACGCACCAGATTTTCAACCAACTCGAATGTAAACCCAACCACGTCATTATTAGACGTTAAAAGCAATGGACGTATTGTGGGTGGAAGAGTTCAACAAGCACAGGACTCTGACCCAAGAGACTGGTGTTTGTGTCCCATGTGAAACTAAAAGTTAACGCAAAGTTATTTTGTCACTACAGTTATAAGTCACTTATTAGTCAATTAGTCATGTGAGTCGACTCACATGACTAATGATTGACCCCTTGATCCTTGTGTTAAGATTCAACACAAAAGTCTAGCCCCAGCATCATTATCCTCCTGAGACCCGAACTTTTGTTTGGTATGAATTTTTAATCTCTCCTAGATGTATGGGATCAGTAGGACCCGATAAGTATAAAACCTTAACACTGTCAACCATAATAAATGTCTTCCCATTGGGTTTGGTTTTCATGGTGTTGTGTATTTGTTTACTTTATTTGTTCTTTTCTGAATTACTATCTGTTTTGATTTT